CTTTTATGTGGGATTTAATGAGTGCCTCAGGCAAATACTAGGGTTAGCTTGCATCTTCACAGGGGATCCTGAGAATGGAGAGGGTGGGATTGTAGTTCTTCACTGGCAGGCATATTTGTAGTGGTAGGGAAATACTGCAGATGGGGCGCTGGCCCAGACCAGCGCATCTCCAATGCATATGTGCAGGCAGTCACCCATCACCTAGTCCAGGTACCGGTTCTGACTTGGCAGGTCTGGGTAGCCAATGCATACATTTGTACAAGCTCCAAGGCTGCTGACACCCAGACCCCACCTGAGATGGAGGGGCTGCATATTGTCAATGCAATGCATCTTTTTTCTTCTTCTTGGAACTCCTATCATTATCATTCTAGGGTTCCTGGGTCTCACCCAAATCTCTTACCTTTTTTCATGATTCTGCTCTTTTGTACTTTTGCTCTGTACTTTTAGTTAGCTCTTTCACTTGGTTTCAAACCCACTAACTCAGGCCTAACGCTGACTTTTTTTTTCAATTCATTACTCAGTATTTTTTTAAGTTATGGGTTTTAGTTTCAGAAAGTACTTTTTATTCAATGCTTAAAATCTCCTGAATGGTACTTACAACTTATTGTTTATTTTCTTATGTCTCTCGGACATGCTGTGATGAATCTTGTCTGAGGCTGTTGGTCCCCCAAATGTGCTACTTGTTTTTTGTGGAGTGCCACAGAGCTAGAATCCGGCAAAGTGGCTAGTCCTCACACCTATGGAAGGTGACAGACCCTCAGCCTGGGCACTGCAGGGCCCTTCTGAGGCCACACTCTCGGCCACCAGAGGGGGGCGGAGGCCTCCCAAAGAGGTTGTGCACTGTCCCCAAGGGGCTGACTTGCAACCTGACAGCCTGCCAGTACCAAAGTGATCAAACTGCAGGAGCTCTCCCAACCTAATGGGGGAAACAGCATCTCTTTGCTGCTGTCATTTCTATTTTCTCTGACCTAATGCTTTCTCAGCTTGCACAATGATGGATCTGGGATTCAAGCCCAGACTCACCTTCTCTAGAACCTTAACTGTTAATTCCTACAAATGCTCATGTTATTAAACCTAACTGCAATCTGCTAGACCAGGTTCAACCCTCCACATTATTTTGATCCTGGAAAAGGAAAAGGATGAATGAAAACAAAAATGAGATCATGTAGACAGAAAAGCAAATGTGAAATGCTTCTGACTTCTACCACCCTGAAAGAGCATTTTTCTTTGTCAGGGGTTACAGCAGTCTGTCCTCTGCCCAAGCACCTCTTGCAGGGCAAGTGTCAAGGAGAAGACTACAAAGACCTAGAAGAAGAAGATACATGAGAACAAGCCAGCCTTGAAAAACTGACTACCACACCAAGGCTGCAAGATAATACAGATAATGATGAGTATCCAAGAAGTCAGAGAAAACACACAAAATCATGTGCATAAATTACCATTCTTTGAATTCAACATCCAAGACAAGAATAATCACATTTTAACTTGCAAATTGCCTGAGAATTCTTCCTGTTCAAGCAAATGAGGCTGAAAAGATAAGGTTTAAATGGAGAAAGTCTGTCAGGGAATTCTCAGTCATTAGCAATGTATTGCAAGTACATTTACTGGGGACACCTAAGAAAGCTGCCCACAAAAGCAGGTCTGGGCTCATGTGTGCTCCCACAGCTCCTTGTTAATTGCAGACAGGAAGCTGAAGGAAGGTGAGATGGGTGGGCGGATGTTAATAGGATTACCCTGAATGGAAATATTTTTTAAGACAGGAAAACAGGGGCGCCTGGGTGGCTCAGTCGGTTAAGCGACCGACTTCAGCTCAGGTCATGATCTCACAGTCCATGATTTCGAGCCCTGCGTCAGGCTCTGTGCTGATAGCTCAGAGCCTAGAGCCTGCTTCAGATTCTGTGTCTCCCTCTCTCTCTGACCATCCCTCATTCATGCTCTGTCTCTCTCTGTCTCAAAAATAAATAAACATTAAAAAAAAATTTTTAATAAAAAAAAAGACAGGAAGACACATACCATATGATTTCTTTTTTCTTTTTTTTTATTTTTTTAATGTTTATTTAGTTTTAAGAGAGAGAGAGAGACAGAGAGAGAGAGAGAGACAGAGAGAGAATGGGGGAAGAGCAGATAGAGAGGAAGACACAGAACCCAAAGCAGGCTCCAGACTCTGAGCTGTCAGCACAGAGCCCAACGCAGGGCTCAAACTCAGAACTGTGACATCATGACCTGAGCCAAAGTCGACGCCCAACCAACTGAACCACCCAGGTGCCCCCATATGATTTCACTCAAAAGTGGAATCTAAAAAACAACAACAAATGAATAAACAAACAAAAAGCAGAACCAGACACATAAATACAGAGAACAAACTGATGGTTGCCCGAGGAGACTGGGGTAGGTATTTGGGCAAAACAGGTAGAGGGGAAAGGGAGATCCTGGCTTTCAGTTATGGCATGAATAAATAACGGGAATAAAAGGCACACCATAAAGAATAGTCAATGATATAATAATAGTGATGTATCAGGACAAATGGTAGTTACACTTGTGAATACAGTATAATGTGTAAACTTGTCAAATAGCTATGTTGTACATATGAAACTAATGTAACATTGTCAACTTTAAAAATTCAAATTTAAATTTATATTCAAATTTAAAAAACAAACACTTAGGGGAACCTGAGTGGTTCAGTTGGTTAAACGTCTGACTTAGGCTCAGGTCATGATCTCACTGCTCATGTTTGAGTCCTGCTTTGAGTTTTGTGCTGACAGCTCAGAGACTGGAGCCTGTTTCAGATTCTGTCTTAGTTTCTCTCTGCCCCTCCAGCCCCTTCTCTCAAATATAAATGAACATTTAAAAAAACACTTAAAGTGATGAGCACTGAGCAATGTTGTTGAATCATTATATTGTAGAAACTGGTATAAACACTGTATAAACTAATATAATTAATATGGCTGTGTATTAATTATATTTCAATTAAAAAATAAAAATTAAAGACAAAACAAAAAGGAAATATTTCCAAACCAGTTGATAGAGACCCCCAGGACCTCCCACAGCCTCAGCCCTTTGGACCCTGTTATGCCCCAAGCAACTGAGTAATTAACAATGGCACGTTGGATAAGAGGAGAGAGGGGGCTTCAAGCTTCCTGTTTCAGAGGCTCCTTGCCTGTTCTGATTGCACTAAACAAAGCTGGAATGTCAATATTAAAATGAATTAATTTAATGTTAATTTTTTTTAATTTTTTTAATGTTTATTTATTTTTGAGAAAGAGAAAGAGAGACAGAGAATGAGCAGGAGAGGGGCAGAGAGAGAGAGAGAGAGAGGGAGACACAGAATATGAAGCAGGCTCCAGGCTCTGAGCTGTTAGCACAGAGCCTGACACGGGGCTTGAACCCACAAACTGTGAGATCATGACCTGCACCAAAGTCTGGCACTTAACTGACTGAGCCACCCAGGTACCCCAATGTTAAATGTTTTTTAATAGTGTTACCATTAAAGAGGTGCCAGGGTGGCTCAGTCAGTTAAGCATGCGACTTTAGCTCAGGTCATGATCTCATGGTTCGTGAGTTCAAGCCCCACATCTTGAACAGCACAGAACCTGGCAGCACAGAGCCTACTTTGGATCTCTCTCTCTCTGTCTCTCTCTCTGTCTCTGTCTCTCTCTCTCTCTCAAAAAGTAAACATTAAAAAATAGTGTTCCCATTAAAGATAAGCAAAAGTCAAAATCAAGGGGAGAGCCCAAGGAATAAGGAAAATTTAAAAGAGCAAATCTAATCCCAAAAAAGTTCTGTGGTGCTCTTCTAAAACCCAGCTGTGCACATGCTGGAATTTTAACTGAAGCCTTGTCCAGCCATATTAGAGAGATAAGCCCATCTATGATTTAGTTCTTTCAACTTTGGACACTGTGAGACACATTCTGGAGAGAAGACACCACTCAGGAAGAGATGGGCTTTGCTGTGTCCCAAACTAGGGCATTCAACATCTGTACAATTTCTCTAACTCAGGACTTCATGAAAAAATAATAACAGTCATAGCATTAGCTCAGAATTACCAAACCCAGACCATGGAAGAATAATATAGCTATGTAACTAGAGAGTCAGCCTGCAGACACTGATTCCTGCAGGCAATGAGTGAGGGACATAGAGTGCCAGGTCAGCCTAAGGTCTTGTGAGAGAGAGAAGCATCACCTTTCTCCTCACTGACAGGCTCTCTGCTCTACTTCCTTGGGTCTCAAGTGTTTCCCAGTGTGATATAAGGTGGTGGAATGTAATGGGAGCCCCCTTGCAAAGGCTGTTGGAAGGGGGATGGGTGGGCCCTCAAGGTCACAAGAACAGAGAAAATTACCCTGTCCAGAGTCCAACCATGAGGAGTGTTCACACCTGGGACTTCTGGTAATTGTGACAGGACCCCAGTTTCTTGTATGCAAGCCCCCATTCCTTCCTTTACTTTGTCATACCAGGGATTCACAGCTCTGCCATATACCAATCAGTGATGTCAGAAAACACAGCAAGAACAGGGCTCATCAGCCTTGTAAAAGACCTTTAATGTGTATCCCAATCTCAGCTGCAGTCAGGGCCACATAGAGAACTCAAAATTCTGCCCAAGCCAAGCCCCAGAGGCCACACTGGCCAGTGTCTGCATTAACAAGGAATAAAGGATGATTGCCTTCAACCAGTCTATCTTTGGTGTCTTACAATTTTCTTTCAAAGAACAAATAAATAGACTGTCTTTTCCATGAAGTGTGGCAGCTCTCAGTTGGGCTAACCCTGAAACAACTAGTTAATGATGCACTTCCCACTGCAGCTGCAGGCACACGGATTCCAGCTTGTAGCGTGGACTCAGTATCTCTGGCCCAGCTGGCCCTAAGCTTTGCCACATCTTTCCTCCATAGCTACGAGTGCAGCAAACAGACATCGTTCATTCTCTGCTTCTTCTTGAAGGAAAGGTGAGCCCAGATTGTGTCCAGGCAAGTTGGGGCCATATCACATGGAAGAGCAGTGCAACTCACCATTGTAGCGGTAAATGGGATGTTGTCAATCAAGGATGATGCAATGGCTGAGACCCAGACCACCAGGATGATGGCAGTTGTGAGGCGCCGATCCTCTGGGACCATCTGGAAGGAAGCAGATAATAGCAGTGCTATGTATCACAGTTGCCATTGATAAATCACACACACTGAGGATCTGATGGTAGGACACATGAGACTCAGAAGAGACCACAAGGCTGCCAGCCCTTCCTCTCACACAGAAGACAAAGGCAGACCCAGGTGTGCAAACAGGACCAGCATGGGCTTTCCTTGTAATTATCAGGAGCCTCTGCTGGGTCTACAAGAAACTAAGGAGAATGATTCCCAGCCACACCCAAGCCAACCAGTACCTAGGGAAGGGAGCAGGGTGGCTCCATTCTCAGTGGCAGCATATATTAGTTATACTGACCTGAGCTCCTGGCAGAGGACTGGAGCTGTGCATTTTTATTCACTTACTAAGACTGGTTTCTCAATTTTTCTCCTTCTTAGACAGATTTTAACTAAAGGCTCATAGCAAAATTGCAGGCCTCTATAATTATACATTCTTTGGAGAAATTCTCCCTTCATCTCTAGGCTGCACAGGACAAAAAGAATTCTCTGCTATACTTTTTACATAGTCTGTGACCTATTCTTACCAGATTTTTTTTTACAAAATCAAAGTAACAGAGGCTGGGACACATTCTATTGTAATATTTAATGTACCTTTATTAGCAAAGCAGTCTGTTCTCCAACATATTCTATTAAGTGGAGATGTGCCAGTGCCTAGAAGAAATGGATATATGATGAAAATCAGTTTAAAAGTAAGAATATATGCAAATTTTTAAAATATGCCTTTAAAATGAAAACAAGTGAACATAAGGCAGGTCCTAGCTCTCATTTCTTATAAAGGATTATACTCAAATACACAGTCTATAAATAATTTACTATCAGATACACGCACTGATGATTCACTGAGAAGAATGCACCATACCACAGGCAGGAATTTTCATTGATTTGTGTTACTGTCCACATTAAATTTAAATTTGAATGGAATGGTACCTTTTTAGTATCAGTGTATAGGAGCACTGTTAAATTGTACATAATGAAATGCTGCTCATATAGAAGGTCTTTCAAGTAAGTTACATTTCAAATTTCTTTTCAAAGTTCAACATCACAGAAGAATCAAAGAAAATGCATGGTTTGTATAACTGTCAAAGAAAGGAAGAATAGATATATTTAACTGAAGCATGTAACTATTTTCTCAGTACTAGACAGATTGAGAAAATTGAGTCCAAGCAGGAAAGATTAGACGAAGGAGATGTAAGCTCAGAAGGCGTTCTGCTCAGGCTGTTGCCTTCACCACAGCCAGGGAAGGGATGTCCTGCTGACCACAATGGATCCCAGACAGGAAGCACTTGTAAGGAACGAGATGTGGGTGTGACACAGCTGCCTTGCACTTCTCAAATGTGGCTTTTTCACTGTGATGTCACCATGCTGAATGACTATGAATATTGAAAACATCAGCTTGACCATGTTTAAACGCAAGTTTACAACTTCCCCATCCATATGTAGAGTTGTTTGTTAGCCTTCCTTTTAAAGTTGTGGAACCCAAATGTTGGGTTTTCAATCACAATTTTAAGATAAGTGTGCTATTAAATCAACTAAATCATAAGGATAAATCTATTTAGATAAATCTGTTCATAAATCTAGTCAGCATTGTTGACATTAGGCACCAAATAATTCCTTGTCGTAGGGCTGTACTGTGCATTGTGGAATGTTTACCATCCCTGTCTTCCACTCCCCAATATGACAACCAAAACTGTCTCCATGCAGTGCCAGTGTTGTCACAAAATCACCCCCTGATAAGAATCACTGATTTATAATAATCCATAAATAAAACATTTTTTAATTTGAAAAACACAGTTAAATGTAGTCACATCCTTTATTTCATTCTATATTACTAACTAAAGGAAAAGTCAGAGGTCTAAACCAGATTAAAACTTCTTGCTAGATATCAAATACAGATGGTTATTTATGTGTGTATACATACATACACACATACATACATACACATACACAGTATTATATGCACACCTTGATGTGTGCCTATAAACAACTATCTATTTATATATTTAGTGTCATATAATTATCCCAAATATCAAGGTCCATGGTATAGAGTGTAAGACAACATAAAGGGAAATCTTCAAAATACTTAAACATTATATCTAATAACTCAGTTCAAAGTAACTGATCTCTTAATTGAAAAAAGAAAGTCAAAATACAAATATCTAATAAGAACTTTATAAATGGCAAATTAAATAAATATGTAATACTTAACTCTACCAAGCCCTTCAGACTGGATAATATATAGTGTTCTATTTTCAATTCACTGACCTTTTCTTTGGTCATATTCATTCTTTTACTGAACCCAAAACGTTTTTTTAATGAAGTATTATATTTTTAAATTCTGACCTTTGTATTTGCTTCTATTTTGTAATTTCTGTTACTCTCCTAATGATTCCTATCTTTTCATTCATTTCAAATTCATTTTTCTTTACCTTATTAAGCATGTTGTAATAGCTACTTCAAATTCTTTGGTCATTTCAACATCTGGATCATGTCTGGATTAAAATCTATTTATTGCCTCTTTCCCTGAGAATTTATTGCATTTTCCTCATTCTTTGTATTTTGAGTCTTTTAGCATCATCTCCTGGATATTGTCCAAGATAAGATATGCAGATTCTGGGTCCTGCTATAATCTTCTGGACACCGTCCTTTTCTTTCTTGCCTTTTTTCTTTTCTGTTAGAAGTTAGGTTCAGAACACAATTTCTGTCTCACCTTCCAGGGGTAGTGGTTCAAATTCATATTTTCCATGATAATTTTGGTCTCTCTCACATATGCAGAGTTCAGCACTTGGAGACTCATGGAGATGGTTCAAGTTTCAGCTGAGTTCTTTAAACCTTGCTATGTTGATTTGTGCCTGTCCAGCATATATGTCATTGAAGAGTTAGAGACTTGTATGAATGGTTGTAATCTCAGATAGTCCTCTAGGCCTACACGAGGCTGGTTTGGGTCTGTATCATGCATGCATTGATCAGAACTGTACATGTTCATGCATGGAATTGGGGGTGTGGAATTCCCTCTCTATTCTGAGATTCCCTCATTCCCAGCCCACAGGTACTACTTTCCCTGGCTCCTCTGGGTGGAAAGATGAGGATACTATGGCTAGGAATTTATGCCACCATGCCATGCTGTGACTAAGGCCTTCCTGTCCTGGAGGGAAATCTAGGAGGCAGAAAAATAGGAAAATCACCCCAAGGGGGTCACTTTTCCAAGTATTAACTCCCTTCCACAATTCACCTGGTTTTGTTTATTGTTCAGAGTCCATCAGTACTTGGTTTTTATATTTTTTCCAGAGTTTCAGTTGTAATCAGAGAGAGGAATAACCTTTAATAGGTTTGTACCCCCAAAGAACTAGGATACAATATTCTTTCTTATTATGTAACTCAGTTAAAATACTCTTCCTTCAGCTAACTTTTAGATTTAAAAATAGATTAAATGTGCTATTTCTCCTCTGCCAAATCCTCTCCAATTGATCTACATACCCATTATACCCTGGGACCTGGGCAGGGGCATAGCTAGACCCTGTGTCCACCCTGGAGCCCGCTGCTGAGCTAGGAAGGACAGCATGAGTCACACAGCAACTCTGAATAAAGTGATAAGGATGCAAATCAACCTGAATCCTGCCAGAATTTGAAAGGAAATGTTTGATAGTCCCATGACCATCAATTGTACCAAGGTGGAAGCACAAGTCTTTCAATATTCAAGAGGTCAAATAGAAAACCATGTGCTCTTTGGAGTCCTTTTCTCAGATGCCCTCTGATCTACCTTTCCCTGCTGGTTTTCCCTTTTCATGATATCTCATCTTATTTTAAAATCATCTCCATCAAAATCTAACCTCATCGAAAAAAAGAAAAACAAACACCCTAAATTTGGAAACCTGTAAAATATATTTGAAAGTTCTGATATGTTTAACAGCTGACACATTCAGCTATTTTCACAAACATTTGGAATACATTAAATGGGAATTATTTTAACTGAACTTAAATTACAGCACTATTTTTAGAGAATGTCATAGCTAGGTTAGAAACAGATTACTGAAACTGAGAAAGAACTCATTATAAATCCTTTTTGCTACAAATATCCAAAAATGAAAATGCCTGTATGTCCATTTTCCCCAGAATTATGTATGTATCCTCCAAGTGAACTCACTAACAATTTTATTTATAAGATAGCACTTCTTTATAGACTCAGCTATAAGAGAAAGCACCACTTAAGTGACCCTCCTGTTCAGGTGCCTAGCAGTAAGGCTAGGTGACCACTCTCATTATCTAAAAATAAACTTCTTCTGGGGAGCCTGGGTGGCTTAGTCAGTTAAGCATCTGACTCTTGATTTCAGCTTAGGTCATGACCTCATGGTTTGTGAGATCAAGCCCTACATAAGGCCCATGCCGTTAGCATGGAGCCTGCTTAGAATTCTCTCTCCCCCTTTCTCTGCCCTTCTCCTGCTCGTTCTCTCGTTCTCCACTCTTCCCCTTACCTGCTCATATGTGCTCTCTCTTACAAAATAAATAAACATTTAAAAGTAAATAAATAAATAAACTTCTTATGTTGTTCCCTCACACTGGAATTAAAGATCCATTAAAGGCATTTATAATTTAAAAACTAATCTTATTTTTATATTCCATGCAAGAGACATATTAAAAGAGACTTGAATAATTATTGAAAAACACTAAATTAAAGGAATAAGATTAAATAAAAAAATTTTATTGAGTGTTTTAGGTAGTAATAGTGTTGTGTTTTCTTGTGTTTTCATTTGCTTAGTTTTATTTTTTAAGGGGGTGGTTTCTATATTTGTATTTTTCCCCAAGGTAAGAAGAATGAGCCATTGGTATTTTTGTTTTTTTTTTTAATTTTTTTTCTTTAATGTTTATTTATTTTGGGGACAGAGAGAGACAGAGCATGAATGGGGGAGGGGCAGAGAGAGAGGGAGACACAGAATCGGAAGCAGGCTCCAGGCTCTGAGCCATCAGCCCAGAGCCTGACGCAGGGCTCGAGCTCACGGACCGCGAGATCGTGACCCGAGCTGAAGTCGGACGCTTAACCCACTGAGACACCCAGGTGCCCCAGTCATTGGTATTTTTGAACTTGTAATCTGAATATATTGGTAGTCACTCTCTGCCCCTTAGGTGTAAGCAACTGTGCTCTCTGCCAGCACCCCTCAAAATTAATTTTTCCAGTGAATGAAAATTCTTTTACTCATTCACATTATTACTTCTCATTTGATCTTAACATTTCTTAAGGCAGTTGAGAATATAAGGAACATATGATTTTTTTTATTCTAAATTTATTTATTTAAATTCAAGCTAGTTGATATACAGTGTAGTATTGGATTCAGGAGAAGGATCCAGTGATTTATCACTTACATATAACACCCAGTGCTCATCCCAACAAGTGCCCTCCTTAATGCCCATCATCCATTTAGCCCATCCCCCCACCCACCTCCCCTCCAGAAACTCCTACTTTGTTCTCTGTATTTAAGAGTCTCTTATGGTTTTCCTCCTTCTCTGTTCTTAAGGAACGTATGACTTTTATGTTATAAACTTCAGGGTTTATAAATAAAGGTAATTTATTTCATAAAGTAGCTTATATACAAGAAAATGATGGATAGCCAAGGAGAACTTGGAATGCCTTGCAGTGAAGACTGATTTGGAACTTGGCA